ACTTCTCAATGAACCATTTACACATAAATACTAAGAGTTTTTACTGCTGTTTATTATTCGTAGTGTTCTCAACCATCAGTTGAAGGACAGTTAAGAAATAACTGCATGGATAGTGCTAGAGAATAGTCTCAACTCGTGTCAGCTACTTTACTTATATTTACTTCAATATATGAACTCTTTGAAAAGTGCATTAATTATATTTATCTCTCTGTGTCGAACATACATATTACTTAAAATACGTGTTATTCGGATGTAAATGATGTAGCAAGAAACGTACTATCGATTGTTTACCCACATTTAAACCAATTTATCTTGCAATCTCGGTTGTAAAAAATATTTGTTTGTTTATGGAATTTCACGCAAAGCATCACGAGGGCTACCTAATTTTGAGGTGATTTACTAGTGGGAAGGCAGCTAGTCATCATTACCCACAGCAAAATACTGGGCTGGTCATGCCTGTATGACCGAATTGTGTGACTTTTTTGCGGTAAGGTAACGGGACGCGAACAGTAATTCCGCAGACCCATAGTTCCGAATGCTAACACAAGGCCCCTTTCACTTTCCCCTTTGTCTAGCGTTGAGATACGTAGCGCCATCTTCTGGTAGTTATCTAGTCAGCAATCGAGTGCGACGTGTACGTTTGGTTTGTTTTCAATTTAGTGCAAAGCAACACGAGGGCTATCTGCGCTAGTCGTCCCTAATTTAGCAGTGAAAGAATAGAGGGAAGGTAGCTAGTCATTACCACCCACCGCCAACACTTGGCCTACTCTTTTACCAACGAATAGTGGGATTGACCGTCACGTTATAACGCCCCCACGGCTGAAAGGGCGAGCATATTTGGTGGGACGTGGATTCGAACCCGCGACCCTCAGATTGCGAGTCAAGCGCCCTAACAACCTGGCCACGTGATTTGTACGAGCAATCGACTAAAACATGTGATACGACTGGATTAATGTTCTTTTCAAACGAAAAACGCACAATTCAAAAACTGTTTAGGTGTAAATTATGACAATAAATCATTGAAATTCACACGTTTCTAGAGCTGAATTAAGCTTGTACTCGTACAATACTTCTTCTCCGATTTAAGATACTGTTCGCTCCACCTTTATAACAATAACTCAGTTAGAAATGAATTACTCAGCAACCCTGCCTCACATGTTCTTGTGCCTACATTAGGACTGAAACAACTTTCCTGTAACGAGTAGGCCTTTTATGTTTGAAAAACGTGGCTGTTTGGAATCAAGCCATAGAAACATTTATGTCCTACTTTCAACAATTTCGTTATGGGTGTAACTAAAGAAACCAATTTATACACTTTGATAAAAAAAATAGTATTATTTCACAAGTATGGGCAACGAAGTTCCGAAGCTACAGTCGCTGAAACTTCACTTTTGTAACAGAAGTTTGGTGTTATATTCAATAGTTCGTTTGTTGTTAAACCACGGGTATCGAAACCCGGTTTCTAGCGCTATAAGTATTCAGAATTACCGCTGAGCCAGTGGGAGGAGTATAATTCAGATTGGAATATTAATCGCTGAAGTTCGAGTCTCTGAGTTTATTATCCTGTGAATTCTGTGATTCTTAAGTTTGAGGTTACTAAAACAACAGTTTTGAAAAAGTTGACTTAATTATTTAATTTCTTAAATTTATCACTATAGATGAAATTGGTAAGAATGTAAAACGGGAGCTTCTATAACAAGTGTTTTGAACCAAAAGAAATATTTAAAAATTTACATTTATCAGATTGTTAGCAAATACGTTATGCATTTCAAATTTTGACAATCGTACACAAAATGTATTTTTTTCTTCATTTTTTTATTATTTATTTCACCTGAGTAAAAGTAAATTGAAGACATATTTTTCCAGTAAACATACAACAAACTACAAGGTATATTGTAGAAACAAACAGCTAAATCTTTTCGGTAAATATCATTAAAAAAAAAGCACAAAACGTGCCCGAGAGATTACAAACTTCAAGTTTAACTATAGAAGACAAGCTGTGTACACGACAATTATACATATACAAGTGATATAAAATAAGCTCAAACACATCATGAAAAAATAATTCATCTATGCTGAAAGAGAAAATGCAGCACAATCAAAAGACACACATCGGTACAGATTCAAACAGAATGGTGACGATAGAAGGCTACAAAACCAAATTGATGCTGCAAAACACAAAGAAAAGGTTACTTTTAAAATATAAACTCCACCACTATAAGAAGTCCCTTCTTTCGATTTACCCCTTGTTCAGGGTTAATGATGAGGGGTGGAATTTCTTGAAATTGGTATAACGGTGAATCGAACGATAGATTAGAATTCAAATTTATTTTGGGCCAATACATTTGTTTGGAATTTGAGTTCAACCCATTTGTTGAAATATATGTCGAATCCATTCATGTCGTCTATTTTAAGGTCTACCCATTCTTTATTTGTAGGTAAGCACAAAGCTACACAATGGGCTATCTGTGCTCTGCCCATCACGGCCATCAAAACCCGGTTTCTAGCGTTGTATGCCCGCAAATATATCACTGTGCCACTGGGGAGCCCGTTACTCTGTTGTAGCATGAATTTGCAAATTATCCAATGATGCTTTTCTTTCGTATTTAATAGGTTCTTAACAAAAAGTATTCTTAATAAGTTTATTTATTAAATGCATATTTTTTTTTTGTCATTAAACAAGAAAATCAAATCTGCTTTGTACATCTCGATTCTAATTTTCCACCAAGAAAGTAAAATGTTTCCAGTCTAACTTATTAAATTAGGATCACCTGTCACTATAGTAACAGTTGAGAATATATAAATCTGAAATCACATGTTGCTATATAGACAACTAGGAATAAGGACAACGTACTTTTACAGAAACAGTTAAATAAACAGTTCAGAATTACACTGACACAGTTGTAACATTAGACCTCGTAACTAAGAGTTTATTGTTAACTGTATCAAATCGTCAATTGAATGTCCACGCCAGCCATAAGGGATTCGGTTCTTCAAACACAGTGTGGACTTTTGAGTTACGTAGAACTTAACCGAAGTTGTGTTATAGGTCATTAATCATGATTGAAGTAGCGTCATACGTCATTAATCACGCTCACAATAGCCTAAAAATGAAACATCATTCCACTGAATTATAACAGAAAGGTAAGTACCTTAGAAACACAATTATGGAAGTGAGAGAGGAAAAGTTACACGTATTTAGTTAATTAAATTTAGTGGTTCTCTTCACACTTCCTGCAGTGGTTCTCGTCACACTTCCTGCAGTGGTTTTCTTCAAACTTCCTGCAGTTCAGAATGGATTTTGATAACATGGGAATGTATCAGTTCGCTATGGAAATTTAAAACTTTTAACTTTTTAATTAAACAAAGTTTGCAATAGGGAATAGATCTTAAGCTTTCAGCCCGTGACTAGCCTCTTATCTAACTTATACGGAATTTTAAAATATTTAAGTAAAAACGTATTTTACAACAGCAATCAAAATACAGACGATTGTACACGAAACGAAGGAATTCAGTCCAGTGACATGTAAAAACAACAACAAAAAACACAGATTTAGATATGAATAAAATTACATTGTTTACATTTAACATGAACACCGTCGAAAGAGATAATGTCATATATCAGGCTTTTTCTTAGAACATTTTTTACAGATCTACGAAAAATTGTCAATATTTTATCATTCAACTGATTGGTTTCTTTAACACCTTCTTACTGTTGTTTAATTATTTTACATCAACAGGCTACATTTAATCTCAGATCGCGAATTTCAGTATTGTTATGATTATCTTAAAATAAATTACGCGTACGTATTTTTCCATAAATAGCCATAAGACTAGAAGTTAGAATGTGTACTATTTAGGGAGGGGGTGGGGGTCAATAATAGCTAAATCATCATGAATGATTAGTATTTACAAAACTAGACCTTTGAAGTAGCTTTCTTTGTGTACAAACTGTGGAAATATCTCGATCCTCAAATTTCCAGCTTCTTTTCTCCACCGTTCACTAACAGTGGTGTCCACATATTGTAACAGTTTGAGTAATTTTATGTTTTTGCTCGTTACAACAGACAGTGTACAGAAATGACCAAAATAAACTAACTCAATTTCTGTGTGAAACACCTTCTTTGTGGGCTAAGGGCTGGAAACGTCGTGGATATCTAATTTAGCAAAGTACGTTAAAAAACCCAAAGCAATTCATCGGTAATTTAGAATTATAAATAACACCAAAGAAAAAAATATTTGGTTTACCTTATATGGAGAAGTAAATTCCAAACCTTTCCAGGTAAGTCAGTTTTTTTTTCGACCTGGCTGACAACACAACCAAGCAAATATTTTTCAAATTTTTAAGAAACTGCATGAGAATACAACTATAAAGAACAACAGTAGATATAATTAAGTTTACCTGTTTGTTTACACTTAGTGGTCACGTGTCTGCAATGCTTCACATTTAACTTTTAAAGTACGTCACGCGATCACAAACCAAGATATTCAAGACACCTAATTACTATATATATAATACAATTTTTCTGAGGAGTTACACACAAAGCAGCGGAGTAATTATTTTACACTTTCTATTTTCGTATCTATTATCGTATCCGCTTTTAGCCACTTTAAAGAACTGTTCGTTTTGTTACCTCCCACCACACACAACAAAGTTCATGTTTCACCACGAATAAATAACCTGTTAGAAAAACAAGGTTTGTTTTTGAATTTCGCGCAAAGCCACACACTAGCCGTCCCTAATTTAGCAGTGTAAGACTAGAGGGAAGGCAGCTAGTCATCACCACCCACCGCCAACTCTTGGGCTACTCTTTTACCAACGAATAATGGGATTGACCGTCACATTATAACGCCCCATGACTGAAAGTGCGAGCATGTTTAGTGTGGCAGGGATTCGAACCCGCGACCCTCAGATTGCGAGTTGAGTGCCTTAACCACCTGGCCATGCCGGGGCCTAGAAAAACAAAGTACTTCTTCTATCCATTAAAGATTTTAGTATATTTTTTTTTTTTTTAGTTTTTACATTGATTTGTTTGATTGATTGATTAAACAGTCATGACTCATTTTATTACTTACTTGAAAAATTTTTCTTAAACTTGTTAATTTACGTTACCAACATAAACAATTTCGAACGAAATGAGAATAATTTCATTGAACAGTTTGGTATTTCGTCACGCACGAGAGATCGACCGTAGCTCTACCTTCAACACGATAAGGTATGGTTTTTTTCATTTATTGTGACTAAAAGACCAACACAGGATATCAATGATTGTTTACACGAAATCTTACTCCCGGCCTTTTTGTATACAGTATTTACACTATTTTTTGGTATGGTCTAATTACAAACTTGTCTCACGATATACAAGCACATAATCACAATTTGAATTTCTATACAAACTTAAGTTACTGCCAAGTACCGATACAAGGCCCGATAATGAGGTTAAGTGAAATATTTCTAGGCTTTGTTACCACAAAAGTAACGAAGGAAATTAAACAAAGCGATGTTAAGTAAAAACCCTAAAATTACCTCCTAAACACTCTGCATATTTCTCTTGGATCTAATTATCTTCTAAATCAATTGGTTCCATATATTTTTCTCCCTAGATGGCACTGATATAGCGTTAATTTCTATTAAGTCTGTATTCTAGTAATGTTGAGCTTAATCGTCCCACTGTGAAAGGAAGCTTCCAGCGCCAATCCTTTATGTCCATGTATGTTTGGCCTCTGTTACGGGAAGCACTGTCTGCGTAATTCTCAAATTTCCACGTCATTTCCGTTGTCACGTTGTTTCTAATCCGATACGTTTCTTCCCATCAGCACGTTGCAGTCGAATGTCAGCTTCTGCGGTCATCTTGACAAGATCTGGTGAATCAGATGGGGCTAACTCGGATCGTACTGTACTACCAGTTCCAGTTCTAGCAGTAGTAGCGCGGATTTTAGCCCGGATTTTTTCTAGCCTGCTTAAAGTAGAAGCTTGGGGAGAAGGGGGAACTGTGGGGGCACGCCCCATCGCATTCATGTAGTCAGCTATTAACAAGGTGATGTCCAGGATCTGGAAAATTATGTAATTTTCATTCAGGTCAATTTCCATGAAGTTAAAAGTATAAGTAACAATTTTTTAACTAACATTAATTCTACTAATACAGCAATGTCAAAGTCTGACATCTAAGACATTTTAACTAAAGGGATACCGCCAGTTTCTTCAAGTATTAAAAATTATAATAATTGTTACTGAACTTACATAATGTCCTTCTAATTAATCTTTCTGTCTGATTCTTTTAAAAAAAAGTAGCAAACATTTACTGAAGTAAATGCCACACAATGTCATGACAACGTTTATGTTCATTATAGATCATGACAACGTTTATGTTCATTATAGAAAAGGAAAACATTCGGTTAACGTAATTAAGACAGCCTTAATTAGTATGTTAAGTAAATTTCCTTCTCCAAAAGAGCCAGACCAATTTACATTAAAAGGCATATGTACAGTTAGAGACAGAATTCTGCGTTAAAAATGTAAAACAAAAACACGCGAATCAGACGCTCAACAAACACTTGGTTGCCTCCACTTTACATCGAATATTTGACACTTCACCAGTAAATGTTAAAGGTACAACATTATTTTAAGTGTCTCTTGTTGTAGCTTTTACAGGTATAAAGAGGGAAAAATTTGGATTCAATCAAGATAATTTATGTACATGCAAAAACCTGTTTGTAATCTATTATAACGATACAATTATGCGTGTCTATTGCCTTACAGGCCTTTCTTCCGTCACTGGCGAACTTAATTTTGTATCTCAAGCATTATCCTTTTTTTTAAAATGACTAATGTATGCAAAATGATTGATATCATCATCTTAATGTATTCATATTATTAATTAGTATATACTTAAAATATATTATACAAAATGTTAAATGTATATCAACATGCTGTAAATGGAATTAACAACATCCAATTAAGATACAAACTATATTAGTTGTAAAACAAACAGTGGTGAGCAGTCGGAATTAGTCACGAAAAAATACAACAAAATAATCTTTAGCATTTAAATTCTTGGAAACAGAGCTTTTGAGCTTTAAGTATTTTCTAAAGAATTGGCTAGTAAAACTAGTTACTTGTGGTTGGTTGTATAACACTACAAGATAAAGAGTACGGCAGAGACATTCTTCGGTATTCGTTATCGATTCAATGTTTTTCAATATCAGATGGAAAGATATTGAAAACTCAAGTTCTTACATTATCAAAACACTAAAAAAAAAACTGTTCTGGGTTTGGTTAGAAGAGTCATCTGTTCACCATACTAAAATATAATAATCTCTACGCTTTGGCTGAAGTGATCTCAGTAAACTTGGCTGGGAATATGAACATCGTTTAGGAGACGTTTTTATGCAGGAACTGAGTTGTACTTTACAAAACATAACTGCTTAGTCTTTGGAAAAATCCCATTTCCACGTACTTGCTGATGGAAATACGACGAAAAGCTGCCAAGCATTCAAACTACAAGAAGAAACATCTCGTAAAACTCAACTATGAATATTTTACAATAATGTTTTTATTTATTTATTTTTGGCAAAGGTTTTCCTGAGAGATCTCTGACCAGATATGATTCCTTTGATGAAGTATGTTCAGAATGAGGTTTTGTACTCTCTCCGTACTGTGGCACAACTTAATTTATCAGATAGATGAGGAATATCGTGAGAAACAAATCGAAAAAAGACATTTTGTGGATTTCCTTCGTGACAAAACGGAGTATAAGATATCTGTATCTTTTCACACACACAACTACAACGACAAAAGTTTTTGGATAAAATGTTTCAGAAATACGAAAGATGATAATAGATTCATCGACTTCACACGTTTATAAACAATATACGTTTAAGATAAAACTTTACATTCAGAATTTACTTTTCATGCTCAATGTAGAAATATGGAGCAATAGAAAAGAAGATACGTATAGGGAAACTCGTAGCTTCGTATTCCGTTAAGTTCTACCAACTGTAACACAAAGGCTTATCTGCAAGTCTTTATTTTCTTAAGTAATAAAAGAAAGGGCGTATTGAATACAAGATATCTTAAAAGTTACCTCCTTTAAAATTCGATAAATAGAAAAGCGATATGCATACCTTTGGTTTTGGCATTGAAAAAAGTAGACGTTCCGTTGTACCACCTTCTTTGTTATTCTCAATTTCTGATTGGCTAACAACGAGCATGAAGTCGTCTCTACATCCACCGAATGTCATAACAGCGGAATAAGGATATCGAATGATTGGTTGCTGGTGTAAAAAAAAAAAGAAGAAAGAAATACAAAAATTTTTTCATGTACCGTATTTGAGTGAGTGGAACATCAACTGTGACATTGGTCAGTTACCTCATTGAATAATCCAACACTGAAAAACAACATCTTTAGTTAATGTAAATAAATCTTCCAGGAAATCTGGAAAAACGGAAACGTTGTAGTAAAATTTCTTAATGCTGGTATAAAAACATCCTATATTTATAACTGTAATTTAAAACAGACGCTTCCGATAACACAAAATAAACAGATTCTGAGTTTGAGAAGTTGATTGGCATAGCTTAGGAGTTCTGCCAAATTCCGGTTTGTGGCATTCGGTAGCTTAGTAGACTGAAACCCCTATCCTGTAAACAAAGTCGCAACATGTTTAATTCCCCTCTACTTTCAATTTTTACTTCTCCAAAAACATTTGGACTTTACTGTATTGTATGCCCCCTTAAAATTTCTGGGTTGAGAAGATAGACATTGTAAAAGAATGGCTCTGGTGCGCTCGAGGGGTTGCAGTCTCTGGGGGGTAACCGGGATTATAAACCATGCGCAGCAGAACGTCATGAAATACACATAAAGTCCCGTGGGGAAAGGCCCATTTCTAACTATAGGAGTTGGTGGCGCTAGCAATACTTAAATTTTGGTAATGTAATATATAAATAAAGTTATATAATGCTAAATGTTAGTTATGTATAAAGTTGTTTATAAAGAATAGCAATATCAATTTCGTAACGGGTTTTACTAATTCATCTATCTATCTACTAGATTTGTTGTCGTTGTTTTCAGTAAAAACACAGAGAACATAGGACTCGTTTAACGTACCAATAAATACATCGCTGTAGTTTATAACCGATCAACATCTCTGTTATAAACAAAGAACAATTACTAATAGTCTTAACTCAATACTTAAAATGAAATCCTCACGAGTAAGCCTGTAAACAATTAGGAAGAAAAGGTCTGTTGAGAACCCGACCCTCAAAGGTCGCCCACAGACTGAATACTGATAAAGAACAGATTGCCTGAGAACCCGACCCTCCCAGGTCGCCCACAGACTGAATACCGATCCAGAACAGATTGCCTGAGAACCCGACCCTCCCAGGTCGCCCACAGACTGAATACCGATCCAGAACAGATTGCCTGTAAACAAAGTTAGTTAAAAGATAAGAAACACGACATACCATAGTAACCGTCAACAATACTCTCCCTATCGATCACAACAAAGGAATATCAGTTGGCCAAACATATGGCTGTTTAAGCGCTAGAGATCTATGGGTCTGAGACTTTTTTGGAATCTATTTTCATATTACTCAGTTTTTGCCAGTCCTGAAAATGCGCGCGCACCTTACTACGTGATAGCGCATGCGCGCGCAACTAACGTAAGCAAAAGGCAGATGTAAATATACATTAGTACACATATTGTACAACATATTAAAAGTTTATCAAAGTTTTTCAAAAGGTATAATGTTAGGTCGTAGAATAACATTACACGTTTATTTATTGATAGTGTTAAGTACGTTAAAGTTTAGACCTAACTAAACTAAAGAAAAAACTTTCACAAGTTACAGTTAATTTATCTCTTTATCGATTACGCTTTATTATACCAAATTGTGAGTTTTATTTCTGTCTACTCCAAAACTTTGGGGACCGGCATGGCCAGGTGGTTAGGGCGCTCAACTCCCAATCTGCGGGTCGCGGGTTCGAATCCCCGTCACACCAAACATGATCGCCCTTTTAGCCTTGTGGGCGTTATAATGTGACGGTCAATCCCACTATTCGTTGGTAAATGAGTAGCCCAAGAGTTGGCGGTGGGTGGTGATGACTAGTTGCCTTCTCTCTAGTCTTACACTGCTAAATTAGGGACAGCTAGCGCAGATAGCCCTCGTGTAGCTTTGCGCGAAATTCAAAAACAAACTCTTTATCGAATATAAGCCGTACTTAATAGAGGCTTAATTAATGCTAGGCCTAAAACAGGTAGGCGTAAAGATTTCAGTGTCTGCGATTAGAATTCTTTTGTATTATTGTAGAAATCCTGTATTTAAAGAAGTACTGTTTTAATAAGAATACTAATTTGACCGCAAATGTTTTGCGGGTTTTTGCTAGTTACAAATAATTTTCTATCTAGGATATCTAGAAACAACTGACACAGCGTGATATACTGTTAACTAGTCTTAAATACGTTAATTTCTATATTCAATTATCAATACATTATAAAAATAATATTGACCAATTTAATTTCTCATACTTATTCTAGTGTGTGAAAACAAGAAGAGGTCCTTATGCTTGTTTGTTTGTTTTTTGAATTTCGCGCAAAGCTACACGAGGGCTATCTGCGCTAGCCGTCCCTAATTTAGCAGTGTAAGACTAGCAGGGAAGGCAGCTAGTCATCACCACCCACCGCCAACTCTTGGGCTACTCTTTTACCAACGAATAGTGGGATTGACCGTCACGTTATAACGCCCACAAGGCTAAAAAGGCGAGCATGTTTGGTGTGACGGGGATTCGAACCCGCGACCCGCAGATTGCGAGTCGAGCGCCCTAACCACCTGGCCATGCCGGGCCGGTCCTTATGCTGCAATAAAAACAAAAATATATGATAAAGAATGTTATCTACTTTTACATGCTTTTAAAATTATCAGGCGCCATGTGCAAAGTAGGATAACGGAATATTTTTTCTAACTCTGTATCTGCAGCAGGTCAGATCATGATTTCTGAGTTGATGGCTGTATTTATTACTTTATTGATGTTTCATTGGAATGTAAGTGAATGTAAGGAGAAAAAAACATTTTAAAGACAAAAACCAAACGCATTCCCGATGTTATCTCCCATAAATAACCTAAACAATGCAGTTTTTAAGTTTCTAAATGGCATTGCCATAACTTTATTGAGTAAATTAAAACCCATCAATAAAAAATTCCAAAGATCCGATAAAAAAACAGCTCACATATCTGCGAGTGACAATGTATCTATATTACTGTCGTACAAATCGTACGTATTTAGAAACGCCGAGAGAGATCGTGGAGGTCAAATTACTGTGGCGCCGCCTTCTGAGAAAATGCTAAACTAAATTCCAGGAAACTAAGTTTTTTTTTTTTTCGTCTTCAAGGTTCAATGACTTTCCTATTAACTAGGCCACATAAGTGAATCAATTTCTATTCTTCTCGTGTCACTTCTTACTGCACTTGTAGTATAGAAATTTTATCTGTATTTTTCATGTCATTTTTGTTCAGTAAAAGCTGTGGACGAAAGAACACAATGTGGTTAGCAACTTTACACGTTGGACTTCCGTTGAAACACGAAGAAATTTGTTTGAAAAGTCTAAATATTTTATTATAAGGCTTATATGTATACAAGTAAGTGAGTGAGATTCTGGCTTAAAAAGAAAAAAAAGGCACGTATTCATAAAATACATAAATAACTAAAAACTCCTGTTAAGAAGAGAATTTAATATTAGAGAATATATTTTCCTGATTTGTAATCAGAAATTGCAGGTGTGAGTTATGATTATTTTATACTGACATGTCAGTTCTGACGTCAGAAAAATCTGATCGCTGACTACTAAATATTTGACATTCTGTAATCAATACGCAGGTGAGTTACCAATCAAAATGTTGAGCTGAAGTATGTGTGATATTACATACAGGATAACACACATTTATCGGAAACGTTATAGAAATTTACAACAGATAAGCAAGGGAAAAGTTTTTATGACTTGTCTAAAATTTCCGCTTAAAGCTACGTAAGGGCTATTTCCGCATAGCCGTCCGTATTTAGGAAATGGTAGCCTATAAAGGAAAGCACGGAGTCAACAGCGCCCCTAAGTGGCACAGCGCTATGTCTTCGGACTTACAACGCCAGAAAGCGGGTTTCGATACCAGTGGTGGGCATAGCACAGATAGCCCATTGTGTAGCTTTGTGCTTAATTAGAAACAAACAAATAGTGAACATCACTAACCGACAATTCTTGGGCTACTCTAACTGAATAGCACATCCACGATCCTAAAGAGTGGAACATATCTTTATAGCAATGGGACATGAACCACAAATCCACGCCCGGCCCAATTTATAAAAATGTCAACTAAACAAGCTAATTGTTTTGTTCGAATACATTTCAAGTTTTATTGCGAGTACAAAAGTAGAAAATTAATAAATTAAAAAAAAAAGTTTTAACCTAAATACCTCTATCTTCGATCGACCTGTTAACCACTAGGCCTAGCTAAATTTTATTCAGTGTATCATTCAAAAGAATAGTCTATGATAACTTTTCTTTCACGACCGAAAGCTGTAGCTTGTAACAGGTTTTATTATCTATCTTTAACTTTCCTCGAAGTATTAAGGTGAATAAGGTGTTACCAGAAAAACCGGTTTAATCGTAAGAGAAAGGAACTATATTTTTAGGTGTAGCACACGTGACTTGAGCTATTATTAACTGCCAGCATGCGTATTTCAACCAACTTTCTAAAGATCAATACGTTAAAAGGTATATCCGTTTTAATTACAGTCCCTACTATATTCTAAGAAATACTTTACGAAATGTAAGTTGAAGTTCTTCGAGAATAACTAATTTTAAAAACTATTAAATTACACCGCAGCTTGACAATCCATGATGGTTCCGCGTGATACTAAATGGTGATTATTTATCAATTAAAAAAAGAGGACGGAGAAAGTGAGGAAACTATTTAATGAAAGTACGTTGGGATCAGTCAGATGCAATTTTGTGTCTCGTGATTATTTTAGCAGTTTTCTTCTCAGAATAAAGCTCCTATTTCCACTTTGCTTGATTTTGTTTTTCTTCTTTGGGATACACGTGCCCATATTTACCCCTTTTACACGTGCCTATCTTTATTGCTATTATACGTGCCTATCTTTACCCCTTTTAAACATGCCTATCTTTACTGCTATTATACACGCCTATCTTTACCCCTATAACAAGTGCCTATCTTTACCCCTATTACACGTGCCTATCTTTACCCCTTTTAAACATGCCTATTTTTA